TGATAGTAATAATTATTCCTGCTATTTATCAAAATTAGACGTTAGCCACTTACAGGTGAATATTTAACTATTTTACAACTACAGACATGTCTTTTTTATCCTCCCAATGTAGAATATCATCACTGTTTTTAGTTCATTCAAGAATCAGTGTTTATACTCATGATTACGTGCCATGATCACGTTTTATTTATTGCAGAGTTTTAATATTTTCCTGGTGTTTCTAATTGTTATCTTTTTTCTTTGCATTTTCTGTCTGTTACTTTCTTGAGTTGTTCCAAAATCTCCCAGAGTGTATCAAATCTTTTGCATTTCATTTTTTTTTTCCCTGGGTGGCTTCTTCCAAAGCTTCAATTTCTAGCTCTTTTGAGGACTGATTGATTTTTGAGGACACAGCTGTCATCTGGGGACTGACCTTCATTATTCTGATTTCATCCACTCTCTCCTGTGTCTCAGTTTTTCCCTTCTTGATTAATAATGGGTAACTTTTTAAAAGAACTTCCTAGGAAATTATGAAAGAGAAGTAAAATGATTTTTTATATGTCTGAAAATGATGTTTTATATGTCTTCTACCCTTACTCTGGACTAGTAATTTGGCTGGGTAGAGAATGTTAGGTTGGAAATCATCCTCTCTTGGAATTTGTGTGGCTTTGCTCTATCATTATCTTCTCTCTCTTTCTCTCTCTCTCTCTCTATCTCTTTTTGGAGACAGTCTCATGGAGTGTAGTGGTGCAATCTTGGCTCACTGCACCCTCCATCTCCCAGTTTCAAACTATTCTTGTTTGTCAGTCTCTCGAGTAGCTGGGATTACAGGCGCACGCCACCACATCTGGCTAATTTTTGTGTTTTTAGTAGAGACGGGATTTCATCATGTTGGCCAGGCTGCTCTCGAACTCCTGACCTCGAGTGATCCACCCACCTCGGCCTCCCAAAGTGCTGAGATTATAGGCGTGAGCCACTGCATCCTGCCCATTATCTTCTCTTATTCAGCTTACTGAGGAGGAGTCTTCTGCTAGTATGATTTCCATTCATTGACAGGTGACCTGTTTCTGACTGTTTTACTCTAGAAGTTTTCAGGATCTTTCTTTTCTTCATAGTCACTGTTCTAACATTTCCTAATGATCTAGCAAAGTATGAAGAGTTTCTTTCCCAGTCATTTTTTGTGCAAAGTACTCAGTTGACCCATTTTTGCCTGAGACTATTATCTCATAATGTTGGGGAGACTTCTTAGTTATTTTTAAAAATAACACACAGTTGGGGCCAGGCGCAGTGGCTCATGCCTGTAATCCCAGCACTTTGGGAGGCCGAGGCAGGCCAATCATGAGGTCAGGAGATCAAGACCATCCTCGCTAACACAGTGAAACCCCGTCTCTATTAAAAATACAAAAAAGTCAGCTGGGTGTGGTGGCATGCACCTGTAGTCCCAGCTACTCTGGAGGCTGAGGCAGGAGAATCACTTGAACCTGAGAGGTGGAGGTTGCAGTGAGACGGGATCATGCCATTGCACTCCAGTCTGGGCACCAGAGTGAGACTCCATCTCAAAAAACAAACCTTAAAAAAATTTGGTAACAAAATACCTCAAATATATACAATATGACAGATATTCACATATTACTGTCCAGAATTAACAGATATTAACATTTTATCATATTTGTTTCATATCTATATTTGTTTCTGTCATCTATCCAAAATACCAAAAATCATCAACCATCAACCTTTATCCCTCCCCAGAAATAACCTGAAGTTGGTGTGTATCATTCCTCTGCATAATTTTATATTTTTATTACTTAGAAATGTAAGTATAATCTATATTGGTGGTGTTTTGTTTATTTTAAAGTTTTATATAAATAATATCATTTTGTTTTACAATATCCTTTTTTTTTTTACACATTATGTTTTTGAGATTTATACATGTTAATACATAAAAATCTAGTTCATTCATTTGAACTGTCCATTGTCATCCATTATGTGTCAGTTAGGAAGTTTCCTCAGCTAAAAGTAATGTAAAACTTGGCTAGCAGTTTAAATATAGAGTTGTTTTTCAGATAACAATAAATTCAGGGATAAGCAGTCCAGCGCTCAGTGATGTTCTCAGGAACCCAGATTTGTCTTATCCTCCTGCCTTGTCCTTAGCCTGTGACTTTGGTCTTCATACCTGTCACTTCATTGTTGCAAGATGGCTGCTTTATCTCAAAGTCTCAAGGTGGGATGGTAAAGGACAAACTGTGCATTCCAACTGTGTCCTCTCCCCTCCCCTCCCCTCCTCTTTCACCAGAGTTTCACTCTGTCTTCTAGGATGGTGGAGTGCAGCAGCAGGATCTCAGCTCACTGCCACCTCTGCCTCCCGGATTCAAACCTCAGCCTCTGAGTAACTGGGGTTACAGGCACCCGCCACTATGCCCAGCTAATTTTTTGTATTTTTAGTAGAGATGGGGTTTTATCTTGTTGACCAGGCTGGTCTCGAACTCCTGACCTCATGATTCGCCTGCCTCAGCCTCCCAAAGTGTTGGGATTACAGACATGAGCCACTGCACCTAGCCCCAACTGTGTCACTTTCAATGAGGAAAATAAAAGCTTTCCTAGAAGTCTTACCCAGTGGACTTCCACCTAAATCTCATTGGCTAGATAGGGTCACATGACTACTTCTAGAATCGGTGACTGGCCAAGGGCAACCAGATCACCATGAATGGTTTATATAGATCCCAATTCATGCTTGAGCCTAGGGAAGGTGACTACTGGCAATCAAGGGCCCTGTGTCTCTACCCGAACAAAATGGAGTTTTATAATCAGGCAAGAACAAGAGGGAATGGATGTTGGGCAGTGTAGCACAAATGCCAGATGACCACCCTATGCCCATTCTTCCTTTTTTCCTTACTGACAGACTCAATATTATTTGCCCAGTAAAAATTACTTTCTCAGAATCCATTGTCATATGACCCAGGTGTGGTTTTCAGTAAGCACATCTGGGTCACCTTTGTCAACAAGTAATTTTTAGTAGAAGTATATGCCAAATATTGTACAGAACATATACTCAAAGTTATTTGTTATCTGAAATTCATATTTAACTGGGGAAACTGTGTTTATATTTGCTAAACCTGGCAACTCTATCCAGGAAGGAAGAACAAGGAAAAGTGAAGGGGATTTCTTCTGAAGATGGTTTATCCAGGAAGGGACTCCCTCCTCAGGTTCTTTCTCCTGTAGCTCTTCAGCCAGAGAGAGCTGAAGAGCATCTGAGGGAAGTGATTCTTTTTACTTGGCCATAGTGTTACTGTGGCTGGAGCAGAAATCAGAGAGTCAGAGCAGAAAGGGGGATGGACATCAGGGAAGTAGCTAGCAGCATCCTTGACAGGTGTCTTATACTCCCCAAATAGTTAACATCCACTGGTGATACTCAAAATATTTAACGACCAGCATGGCACTGACACTGACCAACCAAAATGAATACCTGACCACTAACAATGGACACCAACCATAAACAGCCATACCAATACATGTTCGGTGGAATATTAACCCTGTTTCTATTGCTATTTTCAGGAAAATTAACACTCGATTTATTATGATTGTGTAAATATTGCTCACAGTTGAGTATAGCGTACCATGATTAGTTTTTCCTTTCCTTGACAAACTTTTTATATCCTTTTGCAACAATCAAACACAACAAGACCATTTTTCAGATCCAGGTTTTTTCCTGAAGACATCCTGTCCAGAGCTCTAAGATGTGCCTGTTACTCTCTAGACTGCTGCATGGTTCTTCTCTGGTGATCTGCCTTTGCCCATCGTTTGTGGTGAATCCCATTTCCCAGAGTTAATTTCTTTCTTAGTGCAAGTTCTTTATCTTGCTAAAGTTCCTCCTTCAATCACTTCCTGAAAAAAATGTGCATCAAAGGTAAATTTTCGAGCCAGTTTATGTCTGAAAATGCCCCTGTTCTACTCTTCCACTTGATTGTAGCTTGATTGGGATTGGAATTCTAGGTTGGAAATAATTTTGTCTCACTTTTGGAAGCATGATTTCATTGTCTTATAGCTTCCACTGTAGTGATTGAGAAATCTGATGTCAATTCTTGTTTCTGATTCTTGGTAGGTGACTTATTTTTTTCTGGAAGCTTTTAAGATCTCTTTATCCATGATGTCCTAATGCTTCACAATGTTGTGACTTGGAGTGGATTTTTTAAAAATTAATTTTTCTGAGCCATGAGCAATTTCTTGCAGTCAGAAAGCGCAAATCCTGCAGTTCTGGAAAATATTCTCATGTTATTTCATTGATAATTTTCTTTCCACTATTTTGTTTAATCTCTCTTTTGGGAACTCCTATTACTTTCATGTTGGGGCTTCCTGGATTGATCCTCTTGGTTTTCTTGTTTTGTCATACTATTTGTTTAATCTCTTTTTATTTGTATTTTATTATCTCATATAGTCCTTCAAATTTATGTTTCAAGTCTTTTATCGAAAATTTTCTTCTAAGATATTTTTAGTTTCCAAAAGTTCTTTCTTATTCTTTAAAAGCTTATAGGTTCATAGGTTTATAGAATTCTGCTTTTCTTGTTGTCATGAATACAATGTCTTTTCTTGTCTCTGTTGTGAAGTCCTCTAATTTCGTCTTGACGACTATCTCTGAAAAGTAGCCAGAAACCAAGATAGCCACTTTCTAGGAGAGCTCTAACCAGGAGGAGAGTAAGGTTTAGGTGTGTCAGTCAGGTGAGACACAATGAAACCAAAATATATAAAACTGAAGAAATTGATTACTTACAGATTTCAGAGAGGTTAGGGGTTGCTGATGGGGTTGGCGGGAATTCAGGAGGCAGTAGGATGTTTAATCAGTCAATGGGGAAAGAGAGAGAGAGAGAGAAATTGCACTATATTGCAAACAATCACGTGGGGAGGGAAGTTTTGACAAGGCCAAAGGAGTACAGCTAATTGGGTTTCAAATAACTTATGTCAGACCAAAAAGTGGATGCCAAGGAAGCAACTATATTAAACAAACCTATGACAGTCTCCTTGAAGATATTAACTATCTATGGTTTTGTCTTTGTTTTGTCATCTTTGCATCGGGGTCGTGCTAACCTTCTCTGTATTATTCCAATTTTAATGTATGTGCTACTAAAGCAAGCACCAGCTGCATAGTTTTGAAAAGAACTTACAATTTTAAAATATACATATTTAGGGAGTACAGTGCAGGTTTTTTACATGCATATATTTCATTGTGGTGAAATCTGAATTTAGTGTATTCATCCCCCAAATAGTGAACAGTGTACCCAGTGGGTCACTTTTCAACCCTCACCCTGCTCCTACCCTCCTACCTTTTGGAGTCTCCAGTGTCTTTTACTCCACTCTGCATTCCATGTGTACCCATTGTTAGCTCCCACTTATAAGTGAGAACATGCAGAATTTGTCTTTCTGCTTCTGAGTTATTTCACTGAGGATAATGGCCTTCAGTTTCATTCGTGTTTCTGCAAAAGATGTGATTTCATTTTCTATGGCTGAGTAGCATTCCATTATAAATAGAATAAATATATATATTTATATTTAATAATAAATATATATATTACATTTTCTTTATCCAATCCTCCATGGATTATGCTTGGGTTGATTCCATATCTTTGCTATTGTGAATAGTGCTGCAATAAACATACAAGTGCTGGTATCTTTTTTAATATAATGGTTTCTTTTCCTTTGGGCATATACCAGTAGTGGGGTTGCTGGATCAAATGGTAGTTTTATTTTTAGTTGTTTGAGAATCCTCCATACTCTTTTCCATAAAGGTTGTACTAATTTACATTCCAACCAACAGTGCATGTTTTCTCTGCAGGCTGGCCTGTTATTTTTAGACCTTTTTTTTTTTTTTTTTTTTTTTTTTGTGAGACAGAGTCTCACTCGGTCGCCCAGGCTGGAGTGCAGTGGCATGATCTTGGTCTGCATCCTCCACCTCCCAGGTTCAAGCGATTCTCGTGCCTCAGTCTCCTGAGTTGCTGGGATTACAGGCGCCCACCACCACACCTGGCTAATTTTTATATTTGTAGTAGAGATGGGGTTTCACCATGTTAGCCAGGCTGATCTTGAACTCCTGACCTCAGGTTATCTGCCCACCTCGGCCTCCCAAAGTGTTGGGATTACAGGCCTGAGCCACATGCCAGGCCTAGACTTTTTAATAATAGCCATTCTGACTAGTATAAGATGGCATCTCATTGTGGTTTTAATTTGCATTCTCTGATGATTAGTGATATTGAACATTTTTTATATGTTTGTTGGCCATTTATATATCTTCTTCTGCCAGATATCCGTTCATGTCCTGCCCACTTTTTAATGGGGTTATATGTTTTTTCTTTTTGAGTTGTTCGAGTTCCTCTTTGTCACATGCACAGTGTGCATATTTTTTTTTTTCATTTTGTAGGTTGTCCGTTTACTCTGTTCATTGTTTCATTTGCTGTGCAGAAGCTTTTTAGTTTAATTAAGTTCCGTTTGTCTATTTTTGCTTTTGTGGCATTTGCTACTACATAGTTTTTAATGGTTTCTTTGGCTGCCTACATTGCTCCTGTTTCCTTGGACTTTTTCTTTTCCTGTTTGTTTTGGTATCTGTCATTCTGGTGATTCTTGGCTGGCTGTTTATATTTTGAAGTGGAGCTGCTAAACAGCTGTCATGTGGCCAGGCTGAACTTGTTGAATGATAGACATGCAGTGGGCAATTGGATGCAGCCCTTGCCGTTTTGTCAGAGGTCTCCAAAATGTTGGAATCTCTAAGTCCTCCAATGACCTGCCTGGAAGGCCTAAGCTTCATTAGTGTTCTAGGAGTCCAATAGGCAAAGGGCTGAGGGGCTTAACTGCCTTTACTTAACTCCTTTTTGTTTCCCCAGTGAAATTACTACTTTTTGCCCTCAGCTATCCAGGGATCTTCTGTCCTAGGCTCTAGTCTCCTACAAGGCCCCTCCATATTTTAGGTAGAAGGGGTCTTATGGGAGACTGGAGCCTGCATGAGAGATGTGAGGATTTAGCCTCAGAACTCCTTATGAAGATTTTCCACCAACTTCCCTGTGTTCAGTCCACTCTGCATCATGGTCTTCAGATGTCCCTATTGCCTCTGATGTCCTGTTTCTATCTTTGAGAAACATTTTGTATATATAGAGGCTGTCTAATCCTCGAAGGTTCAGAAAAAAACATTTTTTAAAACTATCTGTTCCTGGTGTTCATTTTTCTTTTCATTATAGAAAAATTTTCAAACAGAACAAAAGTAAAATAGATTACGATGGCCCTATTAACTTAAAAATCACATAACCTATGCATTTGGAGAGAAAGCTTTATTTCTTGTAAGGGTTATAGCCTGCAGGATGGCCATGTTCCAGGCTGGGAACCATATCCTCGGGGTTAGATCAAAGACAGGTACTTCAAAGGAGGAGGCATAAAGCAGGAATCTAAGCTGAGGTTGGCCAAACATACATATTCCTTAGGTTACAGGAGGATCTATGAATATTCATGAATGTGGTCCGGATGCATGTGTATTGAACATACATGCGTATTTCACACACCCATGTTCACCTTGGGGTGGAGCCATACCATTTAAATGTATTACAGTTAGACATTATATGTTAGAAGGTATTTGTCAGACACAAATGCGGCCAGTGCTTGTTTAGCTGCTAGAGGAAAAGAAAAACCTGTGGCAGTTAGAACACTGTTTATTCTTCAAGTGTAGGGGTGCAGGACTTAACTCTTGCCTGGCCTGGCCTGAGGTCTTGTTTATAGTTTGGTACTTTATTGCCATCAAGAGTCTGTTTTGTCAGTCTTATTCTCTATTTTAAAATAAGTCCTGGTCAGTTGTGTCTACACTGCAAAAGGGAGAGGATATAACAAGGTGTGTCTGAACTCCTACCCTGTTTTGGCCAGGATTTCATTTTTTAATGTATTTCTGAGGCCCCCTTGGCCAAGAGGGAGTTCTTACAGTTGGTTGGGAGGCTTAGGATTTTATTTTTGGTTTACAACTCTTTTGTACCATAACCAAGCTTCAATAATTACCAATACATGACTGATTGTGGTACCTTCCCACAATCATTTTAATTGTATTGATTAATTTAGGTTTTCTAATTCTTTTAAAGCCAATTTTGATACTTCTATTATTTTTGTAGTGAAGTATCCATTTATTAGCCTTGTGGCTAAGAGCTCTAGTTTCAGAAACAGATTGTCTGGATTTGTTTTTCCATGTGGGTAGTCATTTAAGCTGTCTGTGTCTGAGTTTCCTCATTTGTAAAACAGGAATAGTAATGTCATTTATCTCATAGGGTTGTTGAGAAGATTCAATTAAATCATATATGTAAAGCACTTAAAATAGTGTCTGGCACATAGTAATGTCAACTATTGTTATTTAAGTTTTAAAATTAATTGACGTGAATTTTTTAATGGAATTATATTATAATTTTTAAATTCTCTGCTACATTTTCAGTTATGTCCCTTTTTTATTCCTAGTGTTATTTACTTATAAATATTCTCTTCTCTTCTGATTAGTCTTATATAGATTGCCTTTTTTTTTTCTTTTTTATTGAGACAGAGTTTCACTCTGTCACCCAGGCTGTAGTGCAGTGCACAGTCATAGCTCACTGCAGGCACAGTCACAGCTCACTGCAGCCTCAAACTTTTGGGCTTATACAATCCTCCTGTGTCAGCTTCCCGAATAGCTAGGACTATAGCACACCATCACACCTGGCACGCATATATATGTATTTTTTTTTCTACTACATATATATAGTAGAGATGAAGTCTTACTATGTTGCCCAGGCTGGTGGTGAACTCCTGGCCTCAAGCAATCCTCCTGCCTTGGCCTCCCAAACCAGTGGAATTATAGGTGTGAGCCACCATATCTGGCTCAACTGCCTATCTTTTAAAATAATTATCTTTTGAATTTGTTAACCATCTTATGGTTTCAAATTTTCTTTCTTTCTTTCTTTCTTTCTTTCTTTCTTTCTTTTTCTTTCTTTCTTTCTTTGAGACAGAGTGTTGCTCTATCACCCAGGCTGGAGTGCAATGGCAATATCTTGGCTCACTGCAACCTCTGCCTTCCAAGTTCAAGCAATTTTCATGCCTCAGCCTCCCAAGTGGGACTGCAGACATGTGCTACCACGCCTGGCTAATTTTTTGTCTTTTAGTAGAGACGGGGTTTCACCATGTTGCCCAGGCTGGTCCCAACTTCTGAGCTCAGGCAATCCACCCACCTTGGCCTCCCAAAGTGCTGGTATTACAGAAGTGAGCCACTGCACCTAGCCCACTTGATGATTTTCTATTTCATTGTTTTCTGCTTTTATCTTTTATATTTACATTCTTCTAGTTTCTTTTTCTGTCTTGTTCTTTTTCTAGCTTCTTTAGTTGAATGTTTGTCTTTTTTTTCTTTCTTCCCTTTTTTCTTCATTCCTTTCTTCTTTCCTGTTCCTTCTAAGTATGCTGCATCCTACAAGTTTCAATATGTTGTAGTTGTAAATGTTGATTTCTAAATATTTAATAATTTCTATTGTGGTTTCCTGTTAAACTCATGATTAGAAATTATTATATATAAGCATATTTATATAAAATAATTTTGAATGATGGGTTTAATAGGAAACCACAATAGAAATTTGCCTTATATATGTATATACACTATATAAACATAATGAATTTACTTTTCTGAGGCTTTTCTGTGATCTAGTGTATGTTCTCTCTTTGTAAATGTGTCACTTGTACTTGAAAAGGAAGTGTGTTCTCTATTTATTGGAAATTATTCTTCAGTTTGTTTATATGTCCTTTTCTTTTTTTTTTTTTTTTCTTTTTTTTGAGACAGAGCCCTGCTCTGTTCCCCAGACTGGAGTGTAGTAGTGCAATCTCGGCTCATTGCAACCTCTGCCTCCTGAGTTCAAGAAATTCTCCTGCCTCTGCCTCCCTAGCAGCTGAAATTATAGGCGCATGCCACCACACCCGGCTAAGTTTTGTATTTTTAGTAGAGATGGAGTTTCACCATGTTGGCCAAGCTGGTCTCGAACTCCTGACCTCAGGTGATCCGCCTGCCTTGGCCTACCAAAGTGCTGGGATTATAGGCATGAGCCACCACACCTGGCTATATGTCCTTTTGTCTTAGTTTATCTGTATTAAAGTCTCCCATTATGATTGTGGATTTGACCATTTCTCCTTGAAATCCTACCCTTTTTAATGTATACATTTTGAGGCTGTGTTCCTTTTGCTTTATAGTCATGAAGGTGAAGGAGGAGAAGGCTGGGGTAGGAAAGCTGGATCCCACTAACCACAGGAGGAGATTTCCGGATCAGAAAGGTGAGGTCACTTTGAGGACTTGATGCAAATCTCAGAAGGGATTGAGAATTCTCTGGGTGTCCAGCTCTCTCAGCTGGAGATAATAGGGAGCAGATTCCTTGTCCTGACTCATACATAGTGTCTCCTTAAAGCTGGTAGAACCAGCCTTCATGGTATCCCCAGGTGACTGCATGGTCAGGAGACAAGAAACTGCCACTTTGCCTATGTGGATTAGAGCATAGCTTTCTCAACACAAAATTTAACTCACCTGATTTTGCAAGATCTACAAACCATAATAAATGCCAAATATCAACATTTTATATTAATTGATTCCCAAAGTGGCAGCTTGATTAAAACCAGTGCAAGATGATGTTGGGATGGCAGGTGTTTCTGTTGCTCCAGAATTGCAGACTTTAGAGGCCCAAAGCCTCATACATGCTACAGAGAAGAAGCCATGGGGCTTATAAAAAGGCAATCAGATGAGTGGCTACTGCCATCATTACTCCAGCCCCACCTGAAGAAAAATACGAACCTCGATGCCCATCTAGAGGCTTGGTGAGCTGTGGAATGTGTAGAGCCACTCTGGAGCTGTCAAGCAAGAAGAATGCCCTAAAGAGTTGCTAGGAGAGCTTGGCACATGTCCTGAGCCAAACTGCAAGATGCTTATAGTAAGAGGAGAGTTCCTGCAGAGCCATGAAGGAGAATGTAGACTTGGGGGAGGGCAAACCACTCCCCACAGTTCACCAGCTAAATCACCATGCTCTTTCGATTATGATAGAAGCCAAGAAAAGATGGGATAATGTAGATTCAGGGCAGAAAGCAAAATATTTTTTTGACAGCCATCTCTTCTGATTTCTTTAATAAGTGTAATCTTCCTGTGTATAGTCCCTCACAATTTGCATAGTCATATTCTTGTACATGATCCCATTCTATCTTTTTAAAAGCCAGTTTGGTAGAGAAAAGATTTTCATTCCCACATTACAGATGAGTTCACTGAGTCCCAGACTGGCAGGATGGCCACCGATCCAGTAAATGACAAACCAGGGAGCACCGAGGGCAGCTGCCTCTTGGGCAGGGGTCTTTCTGTTATACCTGCTTCTTTTCATTTCCATTCCTGGCCTCAAGGGTGAAGAATAGGAACTTGTTGGAAGATCAAATATGCTAAACCCTTAGAGTGGAACTACTTGCCTCTAAATGCTGGTATCTACTGCTTATCTCAAATTCCAGCTTGCTTAAACAATGCAATGTAGGGAAGGGAAGTTCTACCATGATGTGGGGAGGTGAGAGGAGGAAAAAGTGAAATTAGTCATTCTGACACCCATCCCCTAGGAAGCAAGGCCACACTTCTTAAGAATCTCGATGTCACTTTCTTCATCCCTGTTACATCCAGGAGAGAATGGGATCCAGAAGAGCATGCAGTGGAGGGAACTGGGACTTTAGACATATTTGAACACTGACATCCAAGTAACCTGACCCCTAGTACCTAGGAATGTACCAACCAGAGTAGACTCATACAGAGTCTATTCACTAGAGTACATTCAACATCTCTCTAAAAGGCTTAGGCATGTTTCTCCACAGTTCAGCTGAGAAACAGTATAGTGTTATTTGAAAGCAGACTTAGATTACTTCTAACTGTATATTGCAAAGTCTAGAGCAACACTAGAATTTCTTAAGAGGTATAATTGATATGCTCAGAGATGAGAGAAAACAGACTTATATAAACTGCTCAATTAAAACCAGAGGAAGAGCTGGGCATAGTGGCATGTGTCTGTAGTCCCAGCTACTCAGGAGACAGTGGCAAGAGGATTGCTTGAGGCCAGGAGTTTGAGGCCAGCCTGGGCAACATAGCAAGACTCTGTTTCTTAAAAAAAAAAAAAAAAAAAAAAAAAAAAAAAAAAAAAAAAGACCAAAAATGGAAGATTTTAAAAAAGGACAAATGCAACAAATACAAAATAGTTGTAAACATGGTAGATATTAATCCAATGATATAAATAATCACTTTATTATTAATTAATTTAGAGACGAAGTCTTGCTCTGTCACCCAGGCTGGAGTGCAGTGCTGTGATCTCAGCTCACTGCAACCTCTACCTCCTGGTTCAAGCAATTCTCATGCCTCAGCCTCCCGAGTAGCTGGGACTTTAGGCACATGCCACCACAACCAGCTAATTTTTTGTATTTTTAGTAAAGATGGAGTTTTACCATGTTGGCCAGACTGGTCTTGAACTCCTGACCTCAAGTGATCCATCCACCTCAGTCTCCCAAAGTGCTGGGATTACAGGTGTGAACCATTGCACCTGGCCAATAATTACTTTAAATATAAATGGTCTAAACATAGCAATTAAAAGACAGAGGATGTTGGAGAGGATCAAAAAACAAGACCCAATTATGTGACAAGAAACCTACATTAAATATAAAGACACAGGCCAGGCGTGGTGGCTCATACCTGTAATCCCAGTACTTTGGGAGGTTAGGTTGGGCAGACTGCTTGAGGTCAGGAGTTTGAAACCAGCGTGGCCAACCTGGTGAAACCCCATCTCTACTAAAAATACAAAAATTAGCCAGGCATGGTTGCACACACCTGTAATTCCAGCTACTCGGGAGGCTGAGGCAGGAAATTACTTGAACCCAGCAGGTGGAGGCTGCAGTGAGGCAAGATGGTGCCACTGTACTCCAGCCTGGGTGACAGAGCAAGACTCCATCTCAAAGAAAAAAAATATGTATGTATTTTTATATGTATATATATTTGTGTGTATACATATACATGTATGTATACACACACATGCACGCACACACATATATATAGACACAGATGGATTAGAAATAAAGGGAGGGAGAAAGATATACCATGATAACACTAATCAAAAGAAAGCAAGAATAGCTATGTTAATTTCAGACAAAGAAGAATTCAGGGCAAAGAACATCTCTTTAACAGGGATAAGGGAGAGCATTGCATCATGATAAAAGGGTCAATTCTTCAGGAAAATGTAACAGTCCTTAACGTGTGTGCACCTAACAGCAAGCATCAAAATACATGAGAAAAAAAAAAAGACAAAACTGCAAGAAGAATAGACAAATCAGCAATTATGGTTGTAGCGTTCAACACCCATCTACCTGTAATTGGCAGATCCAACAGGCAGAAAATCAGTAAAGATAAAGTTGAGATGAACAGCATATTAATCACCTGGATTTAATTGACATTTATAGAATACTTCGTCAAACAACAGCAGAATACCCATTCTTCTCAAGCTCGTGTGGAGTATCCACCAAGACAGACCACATTCTGGGACATAAAACACATCTAAACAAATTTAAAGGAACAGAAGTCTTACAGAGTAGGCTGTAACACCACACTGGAATTAAACTAAAATCAATAACAGAAAGACTACTGGAAAATCTCAACATATTTAGAGATTAAACAATACACTTCTAAATAATATATGAGTTAAATAAGAAGTCTTAAGAGAATTAAAAAAATATTTTACACTAAATGAAAATGAAAATTCAACTTATCAAAATTTGTGGGCTACAGCAAAAGCAGTGCTTAGAGGAAAATGAATAACTTTAAATGCATATATTAGAAAAGAAAAAAGATCTAAAAGCAACAACCTAAGCTCCTATTTTAGGAAACAAGAGAAGGAATTGCAAAATAGTCCTAATGCAAGACTCAAAAAGGGATAATATCAAATAGAGCAGAAATCAATGAAATTAGAAACAGGAAACAATAGAGAAAATCAGTGAAACTGAAGCTATCTCTTAAAAAGATTAATAAAATTGATTAATCTCTAGCCAGGCTAACCAAGAAAAGAAGGGAGAAGACATACATTACTAATATCAGAAATGAAAGGTGATCACTATTGATTCCATGGACATTAAAAGGATAATAAAGGAATGTTATGAACAACTCTATGCCTACAAATTTGATAATGTAGATGAAATGGACTAATTTCTTGAAAGACACAAACTACCAAAACTCACACAGGAAAAATAAATAATTTGAATGGGCCTATTACTATTAAAGAAGAAATAGATAATAATTAACAACTTTCAAAAAAGGTAAATAAATAAAGAGCAACAGACCTTGATGGTTTCACTAGTGAATTCTACCAAACATTTGAGGAAGAAATGGTATCAATTTTCTACAATCTCTTCCAGAAAATAGAAGCAGAAGGAATATTTTGTAATTCTATGAGGTCAGCATTATCCCAATACAAAACCAGATAAAAACATGACAAGAAAGAAAAACTACAGACCAATATCTCTCATGAGTATATATGTAAAAATCATCAGCAAAATGCTAGCAGATAAAATTCAACAATATATGAAAAGAATTATACACCATGACCCAAAAGAATTTATCCCAGGTATTTAAGGCTGGTTCAGTATTCAAAAGTCAGTTAAGGTAATTCATCATATCAACAGACCAAAGAAGAAAAATCACACAATAATATCAATAGATGCAGATAAATCATTTGACAAAATCCAACACCTATTCATAATAAAAACTTGCAGTAAACTATAGGAATAGAGGAGAATTTCCTCAACTTAATTTTTAAAAAAATCTACAAAAAACCTATAGCTAACATCATACTTAATGGTGAGAAACTTAAAATCTTCCTACTGAGATCAGGAACAAAGCAAAGAGATCCCCTTTCACCAGCCCTTTTCAATATCGTACTGGAAATTTGAGCTAATACAGTAAGACAAGAAAATGAAATAAATGTGTATAGTTTGGGAAGGAAGAAATAAAACTATCTTTCTTCACAGATGATATAACTGTATATGCAGAAAATCCCAAAGAATTTACCAAACAACTCCCGTAACTAATAAGTAACTATAACAAGATTTTGGGATATAAAGTCTCAGGATACAAAAACAGTTACTTTTCTATATACCAGCCATTGGAATTTGAAATTTAAGACATGATACATTAGCACCAAAAATTTTAGGCATAAATCTAACAAAATGTATACAAGATCTATATGAAAAAAACTATAAAGGTAATGAAAGAAATCAAAGATGTAAGTAAATGAAAAGATATTTCATGTTCGTGCATAGGAAAATTCAACGTTGTTAAGTTGTTAGCTCTCCCCAGCTTGATCTATAGATGCAACATAATCCCAATAAAAATCTCAGCAAGTTATTTTTTTGGGATGCTGACATATTGATTCTGAAAAGTTTATATGGAAAGGCAAAAGACCCAGAATAGCCAACATAACACTGAAGAAGTACCAAGTTGAAGAACTGACACTACCCAACTTCAAGACTTACTATAAAGCTGCTAAGATCAAGTGTGATATTGGCAAAAGAACAGACAAATTGATCAGTGGAACAGAATAACTAGCCCAGAAATGGACCCACTCAGATATAATCAACTGATCTTTGACAAAGACCCAAAGGCAATTTAATGGAGGAAGGATAATATTTTCAGCAAATGGTGATGGAATGACTTGTCATTCATATGTTTAGAAAAAATGAATCCGGCCGGGCGCGGTGGCTCAAGCCTGTAATCCCAGCACTTTGGGAGGCCGAGGCGGGCGGATCACGAGGTCAGGAGATAGAGACCATCCTGGTCAACACGGTGAAACCCCGTCTCTACTAAAAATACAAAAAATTAGCTGGGCATGGTGGCGCGTGCCTATAATCCCAGCTACTCAGGAGGCTGAGGCAGGAGAATTGCCTGAACTCAGGAGGCGGAGGTTGCAGTGAGCCGAGATCGTGCCATTGCACTCCAGCCTGGGTAACAAGAGCGAAACTCCGTCTCAAAAAAAAAAGAAAAAGAAAAAGAAAAAATGAATCCAGGCCAGGTGCAATGGCTCATGCCTGTAATCAGAGCACTTTGGGAGGCCAAAGTAGGAGTATTCTTTGAGCCCAGGAGTTCAAGACCAGCCTGGGCAACATAGAGATTTTGAGACTACTAAAGATTTTAAAAAAAAATAGCTGGGTGTGCATGCCTGTGATCTCAGCTACTCTGGAGGCTGAGGTGGGAGGATTGCTTGAGCCCAGGAGGTCAAAGCTGAAGTGAGCCATGATCATGCCATTGCACTCCACTCTGGGTGACAAAGTAAGACTCTGTTTCCAAAAAAGAAAAATCAGACATAGTCCTAGGGCCGGGCGCGGTGGCTCAAGCCTGTAATCCCAGCACTTTGGGAGGCCGAGACGGGTGGATCACGAGGTCAAGAGATCGAGACCAACCTGGTCAACATGGTGAAATTCACCCCGTCTCTACTAAAAATACAAAAAATTAGCTGGACATGGTGGCACGTGCCTGTAATCCCAGCTACTCAGGAGGCTGAGGCAGGAGAATTGCTTGAACCCAGGAGGCGGAGGTTGCAGTGAGCCAAGATCGCGCCATTGCACTCCAGCCTGGGTAACAAGAGCAAAACTCCGTCTCAAAAAAAAAAAAAAAAAAAAAGACATAGTCCTTACACCTTTCACAAAAATCAACTCAAAGTGGATCTTAAACCTAAATGTATAATGCAAAACTATAAAACTTCTAAAAGATAACATAGAAGAAAATGTAGGTAACCTTAGGTCTGGTGATGAGATACTACCCTAAAAGCACAACTGATGAAAGAAAAAATGGTAAGCTGGACTCTATTAAAATTAAAAACTTCTGCTCTGTGAAAGACATTTAAGAGAATGAAAAGAAAACCCACAGACTAGGAGAAAATATTTGCAAACGGTATTATCTGAAAAAAGACTCGAATCTCAAAATACAAAAAGAACTCTTAAAAATCAACAATAAAGAAACAAACAAGCCAATTTAAAAATGGACAAAAGGGCCGGACAAGGTGGCTCGCACCTGTGATCCCAGCACTTTGGCAGGCAAAGGCAGGTGGATCATGAATGCATCAGGACATCAAGACCATCCTGGCCAACATGGTGAAACCACGACTCTATTAAAAATATGAAAAAATATTAGCTGGGTATGGTGGCACATGCCTATAGTCCCAGCTACTCAGGAGGCTGAGGCAGCAGAATCATTTGAACCCAGCAGGTGAAGGTTGCAGTGAGCAAAGATCCCACCACTGCACTCCAGCCTAGAGACAGAGTGAGACTCTGTCTCAAAAAAAAAAAAAAAAAAAAAAAAAAGATCTGAGTAAACAACTCATCAAAGAAGATATACAGATGGCAAATAAGCATATAAAAAGATTCTAAATGTCATATGTAATTCAGGAATTGAAAATTAAAACAATGAAATCCACTAACACCATTAGAATAGCTATTTTTTAAAAATGACAGTACCAAATGCTGATAAGGATGCAAACCTCAATAGGAAGTACTCTTCCATTGCTGGTGGGAATGCAAATGATATAACCACTTTGGAATACTGTCTGGCAGTTTCTTGCAAAGCTAAACATAGTCTTGTTGTGTGAACCAGAAATCATATTCCTAGGTATTTACCCAATTGAGTTGAAACTTATGTTCACATAGAAGTCTGCATGTGAATGTTTATAGCTGCTCTATTTATTATCACCAAAACTGGAGGCCACCAAGATGTCCTTCAATAGGAGAGTGGATGGATGAACAAACTACAGTATATTCATTGGTGGAATATTGTTCAGAGATAGAAAAGAAATGAGCTATCAAGCTGTGAAAACACATGGAGGAAGCTTAAAGGTATATTGCTAATTGAAAGAGCCAATATGAAAGGCTTCATAATATATGATGCCCGGAAGAGTTAAAGAAAGAGAAAAGAAACACAAAAAGTGGCTCAACAGTTGAAGACAGGTTTATTTTGGAAAATAAACCTGAGAGGGGCTTCTGGCCAATTTTGGTCAGGAGTGCTCTCTCTTACAGACTAAGACTATTTATTTTAGGGTGAGAGAACTTATCACGAGCTTGGAATGTTTCTGTATTGGGGAGAAGTTTATTGTGGGGTTGGAATGTCTCTGGTTGTAGGGGCAGTTGTCCTGGGGCTGACATCTCTCTGGCCAGAGGGAAGGTTATCTCAGGGCTGACGTGTCTCTGGTCAGGGAGAGGTTTGGAGTGTTTCTGGTCAGAGATGTTATTTGTGGTTTATAGTCATGCTGACTTTAGCCATTAGGCTGATGCCTTTTGGATTTTGGCAGTTTTTGATCAAGGTGAACTTTAGGATGCCAGTGCTTGTCCAAAAAGATGTCGATGCTCCTGTTCTGTCAATTCCAGCTCTATGATATTTTGGAAAAGGCAAAATTGTAGAGATAGTAAGTAAAAAGGGGTTGGAGGGAGGAAGGGTGGGATGAAGACATGAAACACAGGATATTTAGGGTAGTGAGACTATTCTATATGATATATAATTGTAGATGCATGTCCTTATGCATTTGTCAAAACCTATAGAAGTATCTATACAATAGAAGAGTAAACTTTAATGTAAACTATCTAGTTAATAATAATGTATTAGTATTGGCTCATTAATTATAACAAATGCACCACACTAATGCAAGATGTTAATAATAGGGAAAACTATAGGGGTGGAGGTGGGGGTAGGGTGGAAGTAGGTACATTGAACTCTGTGTACTGTCTGCTCAATAATTCTATAAATCTAAAACTGTTCTAAAAATCTATTAATTATTTGAAAAATTGTTGACCTACTCAAGACAACACTGATGTTAAACTGGTAGCAATGTCCTATCTGAGAGCTGAGGGAATTCTAGCTGCCTCTGTGTGCACAGACTGAGGGGGGTGCTTTGCCTATTATCCTGGGTTTCAATAGTAATTAGGCTTATTAGTGGCATTATGAATTAGGGCTCTTGGTAACTTTAGTTCTTGGAAATTTTAGTTTATAAAGCCAGCTTTGAGAAACCCTCAATAACTCACTTTTCTGATAAGTAGACTACTTAGTCCTTGATTGTTAGTAAAAAAAAAAAAAAAAAAAAAAAAAAAATGGCTCTCAGTAGAAATGCACATGACTTTCCTGTAACAACCAAAGAGAGCACTTGGCATTTTGAACTACATCTGTGACCCACTAAGGGACTTTCCCCTGGACCACATGTCATAAGCCCTATCCAGTAATCACTGTTCCGGACAAGCAAGAACAGGGGAATGGGAGTTCTGCTCATTCTAACAGAATTCTAATTATAGCACTGAGGGTATTCCCTCCAGCAACTGTTGATTTGGTTCATTAATGGAACTCTATCAAACCCAAGCCTTAGGGCAATGACCCCATCCTGGCACTCCATGTCTTTCAATTTGCTTCTGCAGCCCAATCTGTTTATAACTGATGGATATTATGGAAAAATGCCTATTTCCAGTAACCCTGCCTCCCCTGTCTTTTGTGCTGTGCCCACAGAATACCCTCCTATCCACATTGGGCTTCCAGTACCCAGTTACCCTCAAAGAAAAACTGACCAGAAGGGACATCTTTTAGGCCTGCAAAAAGTCCACTGGGGCCTGCGGCCAGACAAGCTACAGCAGGAACTGACTGGCCCCGGGAGTGGGGCAAGCAGCCGGGACAGCAGCGTGGATCTTATCAGCAGGACTCGTGAGTTCCTTGAGGGGCACATTCTGGGGAGCCATCCTGTTGATGTGTTCAGATGGGACCCAGCAGGGCGGGGGGATTCTCTGGAGAATGTGGGTAACATTCCACATGGCTCAGCCTAGCCTTTCAGGCTCTCTTTGCTCTGCTTCCATTGTTGACCAACCTTCTTGCTCATTGACACTTTTGGTCAGACTGAAGCCCTCTGTCTTTCTCTGAGGACTTTGAGACCCTCACTCTGATCCATTCTGTGTTGATTTCATGGTTTAATTCTCAGAATTATTTCCGTCATTTCCAAATTTCAAGGTCCATACAGCCATTGCCCTAAAAACCAATAAGGGACATACTTGTTTGGCACAAGGCACTGTGCTCAGTAAGCTGAAGTTCTTGTTACATTACCTCCACCCTCTCTCCTCACTGGAGCTTAAAGGTCTGGTACAGAATTGTCTAGTCACCCTGCACTGTAGCTTGCAAGACACCTAAGAAGCTTTCCCCCAGTACAACTAAGCCGCTGGGCCTTCCTCTGCTCCTTCAGAAAACAGTTCTAGGCTAATTAAAAGTCAGTCTTTTGCTCCTTCCTGTGGAAAGAAAATTGTCAATCTTAAGAGGAGTAAAAAGGACTAGAATCCTTAGAGTACAAATGTGACATTTTATTTTCTAGACCTTACTAATGTTTCTGGGGACATGATTTCACTCTTAGCATAACCCAAACCTGCCTAATAAACAGTATTAATTTGGTTTCTACAATATATAGCTCACTGTCTTGAGCATGGAAATGTTGGTTTATTTTACCGTCTAAACCTTCCAAGGAGTATCAGAGGCAATGACTGCATCTTAGTATCCTGGCAGGAGAGCTGATGCACCTACTCTCACAGGCCACAGGAGCTACCCTTAACCCTGCAGAGCCCTCTATAAGCCTCCTCATTGGCATTAGGTCAGCCAGGGCCTGTGGCTTTTCCAGAGTAATTGTGCCTTTGTAGGATATGGAGTAATAGTAAATCCTTTGGAGGAGGCCAGTGTAAGAGGTAGGCAGTAGTTAAATATCTCACACACACACAGAGACAGACAAAATATGTGTAGATGCATGCACACACACACAGACCCGCTCAGAAGTGGGAACATCAGAGACCAAGAGGAAAGCAAGCCTGCTGGGAAGACCTCTTGCTCCCCATGTTGGTTCTGGATGCCTCACATATATTGACATGGTCTCTGAGATGTTCCCTGTTACTCCACCACCTCCCCCACATTCAGGATTGAGGTCACCCTTGGAAAGTGGAGTCTGCTGAACAAGAGAAGAAGAAAGCAGTTTAGATTTGGTGCTCTCTGCTCAAAGAGTTTAGAAGAGGTAACATGGAACATCACAGAAGTAGTTATAGCTGGTGGATTTGACATTGCTTTGGTGGTTTCTTGTTCAGTTAAGGGGACACTGACTTTAACTGCAAACCAAGGGAAAAAGAATGTAGAATCCTTTGGCACATATATATATATTTTTCTCATTCTCTGGCCCAGGCTGTAGTGCAGTGGTATTATCTCAGCTCACTGCAACCTCTGCCTCCTGGGTTCAATGGATTCTTGTGCCTCAGCCTCCCAAATAGCTGGAATTCCAGGCACATACTACCTTGCCCAGCTAATTTTTGTATTTTTAGTAGCGACAGGGTTTCACCATATTGGCCAGGCTGGCTTCAAACTCCTGACCTCAAGTGATCTACCTGCCTCAGCCTCCCAAAGTGCTGGGATTACAGGTATGAGCCACCACATCTTCCCCTTTGGCAAATTTGTACCAAATATATTGGTGCATTTCCTTCACCCCCTGCTCTTCCTATACTACATGTGTGTGTTACTAGTTTGTTTCCGATAGGGCTGTGGAGTAGGAAAGGGAGAATGGGAGAGCCTGAGAACAGGAAATTTTAGGCCATGTCTCTTAAGCTGGAGTAAAGACCCCTTTTAAAGAGAAAATAAAGTCTTGTGGACCCACAAAAACACATTTGTATATTTGTGGGGCCCCAGGGAGCCACATATTCCAGTTTGAGAAATAATCTAACTAATTAAGGTTTTATTGCCTAAAAATATCTTCCAATTGTGAATTATAACCCAAGTTTTGCTATTCTGTCTAATAAAAGAAATATTTTAAAAATAATCATCAAAATGGAAGCAAAATTTAAAAATTCAAGTAAAACTTTTCTATTCATGAGAATACATTCCAGACCCCAGTTCCAGATACTCTGGTTTAAGGAAGGCACAAAGTCTGATAACAAAGTCACCAACCACAGTGATTTTTCTGCAGCCCATGGGCATTGAGTTGTTTTCTGCCATTCTTCATGGAGTGGAAGTCTCAACCCTTCATTTTCTTGTAAGCAAAATGGGCATTGTATGTATGATACACATGTAAACCTTTCTCTTGCCACATCACAGGGATGGTCCTAATGCCTTGCAGAAGGGAAAATGAAACAGTGCCAGAATCATTTTACCTGTCTCTTCTGGACAATTGTCTGAATCTCCCACTTCTCTTTGCTGTAGGACAGCTGACCACATGTTTTTCCTTCCAGACACCTAGGCAGGGGGCCCAGCTGATCTGGTTGCATAGCCCAAGCAAGAACTCCCACTTTAGAGGGCAGGGGCATCCTTCAGAGTATGAGGGGCCAGGCAGGGTGGCTAGACGTATCTGGACCTGAGGGTCAGGCACATTATGCAGATGGAGGATTGAGCAGAGACCTCCCTCAGTTCCTGCCTTACAGAATAATGGCAAAGATCAATAAGACGGTATATGTCAAGGAGCCTGATACCTGTGAAAGGCCCCTGAGAATGATAGTTCAATATCATTTTGTTAACTAAATGTATAATATTAATAATCATAAACATAAAGTTGAAACAAAGGTAGCTCACTTTTATTCCTTTCACAGAGACCCATGAGGCTGCCTTTAATATGTGCTGCAGGGTTCCTAATCTCCAAGACAGTTTTGAAATATACAAGCCAGCTGCCTGACATGTTAGATGGGAATAGGATTTGGATGTCTGTACTTTTCTATTAAGTTCCAGTGTACCTGGTTAAAAGATACATGTCTTAAAGAAATTTGATGCTTCCTTGAACCACATTTAATGTACAGAACCCTGTGAAGTCACTGCTCTCACTCCAGCTGAGGTCCAGGTAACTGCTGGTCCTGAGGTCCAGGTAACTGCAGTCCCACAGCAGGTCAGGGGCAGGAAAGCGGCCAGCCCAGGCCTCCTTTCCCTTCTTGTACTGGCTCTATGCCCTACATGGAAAGCAGCCCCTTTTTTCAGAGTTGCCCTCTGGATCATGTCAGAGCCCCTTGGAGAAAACATCTTGCACCTGGAGTTGACAGACCCACAAACAGAGAAGCATAAATTAGTGTGAGATGTGTTGATGAGGTCTGCACAGGAAACTATAGGAGGAGAAACAGGAGCACACAGGCCCACGTGGTGACTGGTGGCAGAGGGGGCAGCACAGGCGTCCTGGAGCAGGTGATACCTGTTCTGAGTCTTAAATGATAAGTAAAAAATAGAAAAGGCAGCTGGGAGAATTAAAGGAAATTTATGTATTTCTCTTTTCTAGCTTTATTGAGGTATAACTGACAAAATTATATATGTTTAGGTATAAAACATGATTTGATATACAACACATTGTAAAATGATTACCACAATCAAATTGGTTAACATCTCCATCACCACTCATCAGTTATCTTTGTGCATGTGTATGGTAAGAACACTTAAGAGCTCTCTAAGCAAATTTCAAGTATGCAATACAGTATTATTAACTATAGTTACCATGCTGTACATTAGATCCCTGGAACATTTTCATCTTTGACCAACATCTCCCTATCTTCCACACCCAACCTCTGATAAACACTGTTCTACCCTCTGTTTCTGTAAGTTCAGCTTTTCCAGATTCTACATACAAGTGAGAGCATGCAGTAGTTCTGGCTTATTTCACTTAGCATCATGCTCTCCATTTTATATGGCAGAATTTCTCCTCCATGTTGTCACAAATGGCAGAATTTCCTTCTTTTTATGACTGAATAATATTCCATTGTATATATTTATATATGCCACATTTTCTTTATCCCTTCATCTATCAGTGGACATGCAGGTTGTTTCTGTTTTGACTGTTGTTAATAATGCTGCAGTGAACGTGGGCATGCAGATATCATTTCAAGATACTGATTTGGCTTCCTTTGAATATATACCCAGAGATGAGATTGTTGGATTATATAGTAGTTCTATTTTTTATGTTTGAGGAACCTCTGTATTATTTTCCATAATGGCTGTGCCAATTTACATTTCCACCAACAGTGCACCACGTTCTCACCAACACTTGTTATCTTTTGAGGTTTTTAAAAGCCGTTCTAATAGGCATGAGGTGATATCTCACTATGGTTTTAGTTTTAATTTGCATTTCCCTGATGATTAGTGATGGTGAGCACTTTTTCATGTACCCATGGGCCATTTGTATGTTATATCAGTCCATTCTCACACTACTAACAAAGACATATCCAAGACTGGGTAATTTGTAAAGAAAAAGAGGCTTAATGGACTCACAGTTCCACATGGTTGTGGAAGGCTCACAATCATGGCAGAAGGTGAAGGAGGAGCAAAGACATGTTTTACATGGAGGCAGTCAAGGGAGCATGTGCAAGGGAACTGCTCTTTATAAAACCATCAGATCTCATGAGATTTATTCACTACCATGAGAACAGCATAGGAAAAACTCACCCCCATGATTCAACCTGATTCAATTACCTCCTACCAGGTCCCTCCCATGACACATGGGGCTTATGAGAGCTACAATTCAAGATGAGATTTGGGTGGTGACAGAGCCAAACCATATTATAAGTCTTCTTTAGAAAAACATCTATTCAAAGTCTTGGCCCTTTTGTTTTTTCTTTTGAGATGGAGTCTTGCTCTGTTGTCCAAACTGGAGTACAGTGGCACAATCTTAGCTCACTACAATATCTGCCTCCTAGGTTCAAGCAATTCTTCTGCCTCAGCCT